AAAATTGTTATAAATACATATTATTAATAACAGTTATGAGATCATATAATTGTGAATGTATATAGACCCTCCAGGCCTTCCGCAAAGCCCTTAAAACCTGGCTGTTCCGACAGGCCTGGGGCTAAAGAACCATTGCCCCTATCTCGAATGGTATGATTGTTGCGTGTTTTTAAATTATGTATTGTCTTGTGTTGTTGTTAATTTGTCTGTATTCCCCTTCCCTGGTTTGAGTTGTGAGCCGCCCTGAGTCCCCCTTCGGGGGGAAAAGGCGGCATACAAATGAAATAAACATTCAACATTCAAATCCCCCCCCCCTTGGCATTTTGCAACCAAATTCTTCCCCCCCCCCAAAAAAGAGGACCCCGCCTACTGAATACTGCAGGGCAGAGCAGGCTGGTCCCATAACTAGGGATCGTGTGGAGGACAGGCTGCAGCAGCTCCACTGTGAATGGAGGGAGAGAAAAAAGTTAGGATTCTCTCTGCTGCAGCACATTCACAGTGGAGCTGCTGCTCCCTTTATGCCCCCTGGACCCCCTCCCTCCCAGGGGTTGAAATACCTGAAAGGGACATGCAGGCTGCCACAGCTCCCTTCCAAGCAGGCTCCAGTCCCTTCCCTTATTTCTTTCTTTTGGCAGCGGGAGAAGAGAAAGTGCTCTGGTCTGGCTGCGCCCAAGCTGGTTGAGCGCTCGCAACCACCCGCCCATCACCAGGGAGACCGCCAGTGCAGGTGAGCCATACGGTTGCTCCAAGCAGGCAATTGCTCCACCAGAAAGAAAGAAAGAAAGAAATCATGTAAAAAGGAGGGGGAGGGGGCAGCTGCAGCTTCCAAAGCCTTTTTGCTTTTAGGCAGGGATGCTGGCCGGTGCATGCTTCATTTACTGCTTGCCACTGACATGCCTTCCACCCTCCGGCTACAGCCCCGCCAGATGGGCGGGCAAAGGAAGTGCGTGGGTGGGGCAAGCATGGTGCGGATGGGCGGGGTGAGAGAGAGAGAGAGAGAGAGTAAGCGGTGACTGGGGGGAAGCGAGCAGGGGCAGGCCAGGGGAGAGACCATACCGGTACGGGGCCTACAACTCTACGGGTCTGCAAACAAAAACCCGATTTCCGCTACCAGTCCAGGCATACTGGTCCAGACCAGTAGAAACTCTCCACTGCAATGTAGGTTGTGGAAATGTAATTTTTACCTGGAAGATTTTTACTTGGATCATTACTGTTCAAACTTTGAAAAAGTATAACAATTGTATTTCAGTTTGTTCATTTGTCTGGAAATCTGGGATTAGGCAACTTCACATTGATATGGTAAGCAAAGGAGTTTTTCTTCCATTTTTATGCCTGGTCGTTTTGCTTTTCCTACAATGCCCTCAAAGAAGCCTGTTTTTTAAAGAAGAGGGTGACTGCATCTGGACCCAGCAATATGGAACTGGGACTTAAAAATGTGTGTGTCTATGTATGTATGTATATGTGTATGTGTGTGTCAGTGGTGGGTTGCAGGTGGTACGCCCTGGTATACACACATACTGCAGCCAGCCCGGAACACCGGATACTGTTCTGGTACAGTGCTCCGGAGGGCCCACCCACCCTCACTCCTTACCAGTGTTTAAAGGCTTCTGGGCTTCCGCGCAGGTGCATGGCACATATAGCGCCTGTGCGATGCTCCGGGGAGCAGCTGGAGCATCGTGGAAGCGCTACGAGGCATCTGCACACTGCGCGCATGTGAGCATGCTCTGTGCGCATCCATGAGGACACCGCTGGCCCCATTCCAACCATACCAGTTGGAACTGGATTTGTAACCCACCACTGGTGTATGTGTATATGTAAATAAAATGTTTTATGCCAGTAGTGAATGTGAGAAAATAATTAAATGGTGTTAGCAAATAATTAGACGGGGGACTGGCAAAGTATGAAAACTGGGAAAACAACCAACTTGCATAATATTATTACAAAAGAAATGTGAACTTAGCAATACTTGGACTCCTCGGTTCTTAAGTTTCTTATTTTCTAGGAAATGGGGTAAAGCTTTGAAAAATCCACTCAGTTAAGAAACTGAGAAATCTGTTGTCCGGGACCAGGAAAATATATTATTTCAGAAAAGCAGAGTGATTGTCCAGAGTAAACTACTCCCTCTGCATTTATTTAAGCAATTATTTATTGTTTGACCATTACTATGCAAGTTAATGAGAGGAAATCACGTCTAATGAAAATGGTGAGGCTCGGTTGGCAGCCTCCATCACAAGGCAATCACCTGCACCTGATGGACTGACCTCCGAGCTGGAAAGACTTGGGAGGGAAGCTGAGCTTGGCAGTTACGGTGGGGGCTGCTAATCATCTTTCTGCAGCTGTCACTCCCCGAGACAGGCAGAACCTTAAGCGGCTGTTGCCTGGCTACTGTTAGGAGCTTCCAGCTGTCAAAATATCTGATGCTGTATGTACAGAAGCCTTTGGGTAGCTGTNCATACTGGAGGTTCTTGGAAACTCCATTTCCAACCCCGGGAAAAGCAGTTTGTGCCCCCCCCCCAGAGGCTCAAGGAAAGCATCCGGAGCCTGGGGAGGGTGAAAAATGCCCCCCGCCATGGTGCAGGAAACCGATTAGCCCATGCCCACATGGCCACACCCACCCAGCAACGGGGTAGCGAACTCAGGGCTGCATTTTTGAAGCCCACTCCTGGTCAGGAGTTTAATCATCCCTGCTGATGAGCCTGAACATGCATAAATAAATCATATTATGTGATGATATGATTTATAGAACATACTTGGGTCTTAAAATATGCCAAACTCAAAACTACCTGACCTCTTTCTAGCTTTCTTTTATACTGTGCAAACCCAGAAGATTGTTACTATTGTTCTGACTTGTTTTCACTCTGTGCTTCTTTAGGTATCTGAATGTAGTTGGCCAATTAGACAAGCACCAAGTCTCCACAATCTCTATGCTGTTTGTAAGAATATGCATAACTGGTTGCAGCAGAATCCCAAAAATGTTTGTGTCATTCACTGTATGGTAAGTCAAGCAGTAAGTAACCATTTGTATGTAGATCTATATAGAAAAAAATATTTGAAATATAAAGCTTGACATAAATTAATGTCCTTTTAACGAATATAGACTGTTGATTTTTGGAAAAATACTGATGTAGAGTACAAACGATATAAAGAAAAACTAAAAATTGAAAATTGACTTGTGGCAACAATATATGGAGGGCAGTGCTAAAGTCGACAGACACTGCAACATTTTGAGATATTTCTTTGTCAAATCTGATAAGAGCCTGTAATGCTTTTGAGTTTTCTCTTAGCTAGATATTTATAGCTTTACTGATGAAAAAGTGGAAGACATGGAATATCATGTTCCTGTAATTTTATTCCTGCAGTTTTTTGTATTTGATCCACATTTGTCTCTAATAAAAAAATCATCAATTTTCATTTCAATGGAAGATGTATTCCCTATAATGGTGTTTGCAGCATTTTATTTTTATAACTATTGTGAATAATAAATATTTTTTTAAAATGGACTGCTTAGTTTATAGGGTTGTGTTCTTAGAGAATTTAGAAGTATCTCAATAGTGCTTTCAGGATGGTAATTGGAAAACTTGGTATCATTTCCAACATCTTGCCAATTACATCATGAAACTCATGATACTGGTTTTTCATCACTGCTTTCTTCTGGAATGCTCCTTATTACTTTCAGAAAAGGTGAAAGTGCTGTGTCAGCATCAGCAATGGATCTTATCACAAATGTTATAGATGAAGAGAGACATCTTGAATGCATTGTATCAAAGGCACCACCACAATGCAATATCCATAATATGACTGGGTTTGGAGTCATATTATAGATACTGATGATCAATGTATCTTTGGGGAGTTTTATGTGGCTGTTCCTGGAAACTTTACAGATATTACTGGAGGAACAATTGTCCATCCTAATCCCTCTTTCAAATCTTATCTGAGAATGAGCCGAGGTGGCACAGTGGTTAGGGTGCAGTACTGCAGGCCACTTTAGCTGACTGTGATCTGCAGCTCAGCG